ATAGCCCACGTAACCTGTTTAGCCCGAAGTCCGCTAGGGTTAGGGTTATGTCCCTTTATTGGTAGCCCGTTTAAATCCATGTTTTTTAGGCCCGGACCGTTTATCCCGAAGCCTACTAGTGATAACTCGAAATTGATAGGGCTAACCCGTTTAACATCTCTAGAGTTCAGTTTATTTGTATCCAAACACCACTAAACATTTTTCCACAATGTTAAAACAATCTCCTATATATACTTCTCGAATAAGCTGGAGCTCAAGTGGCATGCTCGCACGTTTCGAAATCCTATGTGACAAACTTTTATGCTTTGTTGGCTTGAATGAATATTAATTTATTTCCAATCCAAAAGTAACTAGGCTGGGAATATCTATAAATATACTAGATAATTATGGTCAATTTTAAGAGCATTAATTCTGTTTTAATATCATTTCATTTTGTAGACGTGGTTCATAAGTTATAACTAGTACAGAGACCGTGCGATGCACGGGGAGCACAATTTTAAGGTCATTTATCCAGCCTTATAATTATATAAATAAATATAAAAATGTACGGGATATATATAGTACGTGAACTGTAATAGGCCAAAATGTGAACACGAGTGATGCACGTAGTGCACAATTTTAAGATCATTTATTAGTACAAAGCTCATGTGATGCACGGGGTGCACAATTTTATAGTATGTGTAATATAAATACATACCTTATGCACGGGACATAAGTACTAATGAGTCATTTCCACAAAGTTTGCCCGTTAAGTAGCTCCTGAACACGAGTGCACAATTTGTAGTACGTACCATAAAATCAAAACAGATTTTCATACAATTAGATAATAAATAAAGCCTTTTTATTTTAGTAAAGATTTATGTACTTTTTTTCTTACTTATCGGATGTTATGAGATTTTTTTTGTTAAACCGATTTTATGGGATATAATACAAATACAATTAGAGGATTGAACAAAATCAGCACAAATTTCCATACAATTAGATAATAAGAAGGAATTAGATAAGGAAAAGAAGGAATTAGATAAGAAAATGAAGGAATTAGATAAGAAAAAAGAAGGAATTAGATAAAGAATTTTGAATTTGTTTTTTTTTTAGTATAAATAGACTTTATGTACAAATTTTGACTTCACTGATTTTATGAGATTTGTTTTGACAAAACAATGTTAATATGAAATAAGACAAATAAATAAAGTATTTTTTTTTTAGTAAAGATTTTACATCATTTTTTTTACTTGTCAGATGTTATGAGATTTTTTTTTTTCTTAAACTGATTTTATGTGATATAAGATAAATAAATAAAATTATGGATAGAAATAGTAATGCATTAATTATGTTGACTTTTCAACCTACTACATTTGGTAAATAGGAATATATGATACCTGATGGGTCTCTTCTCAGATCTGGAATGGCCCAATGGGAAAACGTCCGGATCTGGGATGAACCGGTGCGAATGAGCTTAGATCTGATGTGATGGCGTTCGAACCGTTGTTGAGCCGCAAGAACACCTACAAGAACTCAACGCCGGAGGGGTTTCCGGCGTAGAGCCTCCGACGCTCAAGTCAGTATGTGAAAGAGATGAAGAGAGCTGCTCTGAGGGAGCAGCAGCCGTAATGGAGAAAGTATAGAATGAATGGGAGTTAGGGTTTTGGAGTTACCTCAGCTCCTTTATATAGAAATGGAACAGTCACCTGAAGTCCCAAAAATGCCTCGGCCGACTTACTGGAAATGTCCAAACTACCCTGGTCGGTTCGCATTCCACCCATTTCCTAGTCAGCTTCTAGATCCTTCCTTATCCTTAGCTGCCCCTTCGGTATGCTGAAGTGTATTAGAGCTATCGGGATTTATGGGCTTCCAACCTTTCTCAGTCGATTTGATCCGGTCGACTCGAGTCGACTGGGTCATATTCGATTGTTAGTAGATCCTCACGTGTTTGACTATCTTTCAAGAGGAAATCCACTTTTGGTAGTCGACACATGGAAGTCGACTGGGAGAGATGCCTGGATCCTTGACCGGAGATACCATAGTCTGCGGACAGAGTCGACTCCGCGTAAGTCGACTCGGTAATCTATGAACCGCGATGGTTATCGAACCGTTACACGACAGTATGGCTATATCAATACCTTATTATATAAGTATAGATGATAGACGTATAGGCCTGTGCGATATAAGACAAATAAAGATGGTTAATTTCTTTCAATCTTTATTTTATAATATGTCTTTGTTTTACTTTTGTTTATATTGTTTGTAAAGTATTTAATTTTTACATGAAAGTATGTATATTTATTGAAGAAGTATAAGGGTTGTTGATTTTAAAGTTATGTAGGTGAAAATTAAGATATCATTCATTAAATTTTATGTGAGTTTAATATAATATTACATTATGGTTGTCACTCATTATTATGCAAATTTTTACTATGTTATTTATCATCATTAATTATAATATTATTAGAAATTTCACTTCTCGATTTTAATTTTTTATTTTAACTCAATGCCTATTAAAAAATGTTTAGGTCGTCGGAATTGTTCAACTCTTAGGAGTATCAAATACAATACAGAGGGTTTATTATTATTATTATTATTATTATTATTATTATTATTATTATTATTATTATTATTATTATTATTATTATTACTTTCTGAATATTTATTGCTTGTTCTACAATAATTTATATCTATGATCTATCTGAGTTTCATAGGTAGATCATTGATTCATAGTTCTATTATGAGCTAGCCGTTTGAAAAAATAAAAATTAAAATGTTATGGCCTAATAATTTTAGTTTGTTTAAATTCGATATTTTAGTAGTCCGAGGTCCGATACTCTATATTACTATTATGAAAGATATTAATATTACTCATTGTTTGTGTATACAATAGTGTAGATGATAGACATATA